AAAGCCCAAAAGACTTTTCACAGCTTTATCTACACTGAAGGAAATTCTGGAATTTTTTCCCTCACCTTGACGAACACTGGTTCTACCAGCACATATGTATTATGTAGCCCCAGTATAGATTGACCACCGGCTACCCATAGTGTTTTAAGCCCTGTGTACAGTAGCACTACTTAGAGCATGTCTAATTGACAGTGCTTAAAACACTGCTGGCATCCAGTGACCCTTCTCCACTAGTGTGCCCACTATTGCCTTGTTTGATCTCTTGCAACTGAACAGAGTATGAATAGCTCTCAGGGGCCTTTCAGTTCTGGGAGTGTTCCAACAAATCCCTGTGCCATATTAATTCTAGCATCCATCTGTTCAAGATTCACTGAGCCCAGGTTTCCCGAAAATGGGAGATTCTGCCACACTGATACATGCCTGGCTAGTGAAACATACTATACAATTCCTGCTGAGCTCTCTGTGGAACCTGTTGAGATGTTTAGGCTTAATTCTAGCTCTCTACTTTGGCATTTTTGGTTTGAGAAGTGGAGAGAGGAGAACCATCGTCTTAGTTATGCTTTTCTGAAGGAAGATGAGATACTCTTCATCTGCCATTGTTTACTGATACAATCTCACCCAGCTTTTCCGCAGACGGAATGGAACCAAAATTTAGATGTGCACAGGATCTGCTCAGAGTAACTGTCTGCTGTCCAAGGTGTCATTTAAAGATTATCACTGTACAAGAAGTCACAGAGCATGCAGTTTAACACAGTGTGTTTAATAATATATCTATGACAAAGGCTATGACTAGGAATATTTTCTTTAGGAGAAACACCAGAACATAGTGGTGCTTGTGAAACAGGTGGTGGGAAGTGAGGCTCTCAGACCTGCAACGGAGGCCTCAAAGCCCCTTCACAAGATACTCTAACTTCTCCAACATTCGCAAAAAGAAAAAGGAGTACTTGTGGCACCTTAGAGACTAACCAATTTATTTGAGCATCTCATAATGCTGTTATGCTGTTATGCTGTTACTCTGAAACTTCTCCAACATTGCCCTTGTGAAAGAAGTCATTCTCTGGAGAGATCACCATGACCTTGCCTAGGTAAGCAACTGCCATGTTTACCTTTGGAATGGCTGTGAAAGACTCCCTTGGCTCTTGGGATCTGTAAAAAACGGGCCTGCTTTGTGAGAAGGCTGTTTGTGGTTGTCCTCCTGCTGGGAATCTCTGCCTGAGCATAGGTGGTGCTGTGCATTCCTTTTGTCTGCTTTAGAACCACAGAGCACAGAAAAGAGGGAGCCACAGTCTTGATGAGACCCAGAAACCCAAAGCTAATCAGGCTGAGAGCAAGAGGGCCATAGTTCACTCTCTATTGTATTAGCAAATGGTGTAATTTATGGACTTGCTTCTGTTTCTTAGACAGCTCTGCCATAGGTGTTAGAGCAGCAGAGGCTGGTTACAGGGAGCTTAGAAGGGAAGTCTTGCACTGGAGTACCCTAAGAGATAAAGATGAAGCAGCAGGAAGGGAAGCAGAGAATTGATACAGACAAAAAAATGGTCACTACTATTCAAAAAATTATTCAAAAACTCCAGTTTTCAACATAGCACAATACAGCGGGAGAGCATCAACTCCTGACCTAATTCAGCAGAGAGAGGCAGAACTTCTGCCCAGTGGAAGTAAGGGACAGACTGTCTTGCAGATGAGTAGCCCTGCAGCAGCACTGAGTGACCCGAATTCCTAGCAGAGGAGACAGATCAAATTTATCATGGTTTGGGAGAAGTGTTATGAACCAGAAGAACCACATTTTAGGGGAAAATACATAAAATAGCGTCTTTCAGAAAAGCAAATCCACTAGGAAAAAAATTAAAATAGGCTTAAATGTAAAGAGACTAGTACTAGACTATGTGATTAAATTGTACAACAGTATTGTCAAGCAAAAGTATTGTCAATGTTAGGCCTCAAACTTCCGTATGCTTCAAAAAGCAAGCCTTGCAAAATTAAGCTTAAGCTTGTGGTCGAAACGCGCTGCAATCAAATAACTTTTTATGCTGACTCCTATGTACTTATCAAACGCACATTACCCACATTTAAAACTCAGTTGGTTACAAAAAATACATAGGCCTAAATGATACCATTAACGAACAACTGGCTCCTGAAAAATAAGTATGCATAAATTATACAATTAGGGCAACCACACTAACCACATTAACAATGTGGCCCACCCTAATTGATCGGTCCGTTTTAAAACACGGCTGTCAGACCAGATAAAAACTACGAAGGCACAGAACCAAGTGTGTGCTTGGTCATAAGGGAAATCTAACCCACACCCCCTAAACCAAAGGGACGTGCACTTCTCTACTGTCTGTACCTGGCCAGTGCGGAAAATGGCTGACTAAAGGGTAACGTATTTTTGAACAAATGCAGGTAAGATTATGAAGTAGAGAAGTCTGGTTGCTTGAGATGATTTGACCTTAGTTGTATCAATACTATAGTGTAAAATCAATTGTAAGTGGCTGGCGTATAATAGCTTTGCATGTATTTGTGCTTGTCTTTCAAATAGCCCGAGCGGATGCATGCAAGGCTGTTGTCCATTAGCTCCTTGTACGTGTAGTTGTGCTTGTTTTTGGTATATCCTGCCACCAAAAATATATAACCGGTAAATAATAGCTTTACTTATGCTTGTCTTCAGTGCTTCTGTTATAACCTGCCAGGACCAGCCTATGTAAAGTCACTGTTCAAAAACTCCTAAATGGTCCACAATATTACACGTACTTGTGCTTTTCTTCAGTATAACCTGCCATTTATATTAATTCTTATTCAATGCTGGTCTTTGTTTTTGCTTTTCGTATTTTGCCTGTGCTGTCTTTATAGTAAAAAATCATTAAAAACCTTTTTTGAGGAATAACTAGTAGCTTTAATTTTTCTTATACGGGCACTACTCAACATCATTACATCTGTGTTGGGTGGTGGGAAGTAGTGATCACCCTGGGCCCAATTATGGTCCTGATGCGTGCCTCCTTCTTCCTATCTCCGCAGACTACAGTATGAAAAAGCTTTAATTCGGAATCTAAATGACAGCCTCGCTTGATCAGAGGTGTACTTGGCACTAAGCCTCAATTGTCCACACAGAGAGAGACACAGACAAACACACACAGTTAACAGGCAGGAGTGTGCCTTGCGCAATGGGATTCTCTCATTAAAAAAAAAACACTTACCAGATAAAAGTGCAAAGTAAATCATCTCTGTTCTTGTCCTTTTTATAACAAATTATGTTTTTCATATGCTTGAGCTATTCTCACTTTATGAAATCCCAATGATTTCCAGAGTCAAAATAAATGTGTAAAGCCCAACACACACATTCGTGCGCACAACCAAAACCAACTAAAAAAAGAGACTGGAGAAAATGCTAGCATTGGATGAATAACTCAAAACAAATTTGCCATGAATATTTGCTTGAATTAAAAAAAAACAAAACAAATCAAATTTCCTTTGACTGTGCCTGAAGCCAAAATATGGTCCTGAACCTGCCTAGATGTTCAAGACAAACTAGCAAGGGACCAAGTTATTGAAACTCATGTGGACTTGCACATTAAAACGAGTGACTGGAAGCTGTGGAATTTCCTGTATAACTGTTGTCATATACAGCAGCCGAGCAGGAACAGAAGCAATACACCCCGGATTCTATGAGTACAAGTCAATGTACTATTTATAATGAGAAAGGAGCTACTAATACTATAAATAAATACAGAAATGTTTTTTGAGAGGCTTGAAAAAAATAAATTCAGTTTGTGAAACAAAGGACACTGACAATGAAAAAAGAAGAAAATATTTCTACAGACCTTCAGGAATCATGAAAAAAGATTGGCCATAAAAGAAATGTTGTTTATAAATTTAAAGGAAGCCAGGATAGTGTCACAAGTACTTGATGACAGTACCCCACCCATTTTGAGGAAGGACCTGATACCAACAGGAAGGGGCAGAGTTTGGAGTTACTGTGAGTAGTACTCATCTTTTAAAATCTTGACCATTAAACAACAACAAAGAGTGTTACATTGAATACAGAACTACAGTACACGGGAACTATGGGAATCAGTTCAAATTAAGCAGTTTTTAACAAAACCAGCTAAAAATGCTTGGGAATAGAAACTCTAAACTGAACACCTCAGTAATTTTTAAAACAGTGACTGGTAATTCATACCAGTCCGAAAGTAGGTTTGAGTACTGAACCTCTGGAATCTGAGGAGCTTGGAAACAAGGAATGACTAAGCTAATATTCAGGTTTTGGATTTAATTATGGCTTACAACTATGGTAGATATCCATAAAATTACACTGCAAATCTGCAGGTCATTTGGCTTGCAGGCCAAGGTCTAATCCATTGCAACACAGGGCCTGCCAGTCTAGTCAGACTAACTTTCTGTTTGAATTTTGCTATCTTTAAAATGGGCTTATTAAGAATTTGTTGTTTTCCATCTGCAGACCTCAAAGGACTTTATGAAAAATCAGGTAGCACAGACTAGCATAATTTTACACATATGGGTAACCAATACACAGGTAAATGGAGTAATTTGCCCAAGTTCACAAAGCAAATTTGTCAGACACAGAAGCTGTGTTCTGACTCACCGGCCAAGGCCTAACCAGGACTACAGTGTGGGGCGGCTCCTCCCAACCATCTAGTGGCTCAGTTTCCATACTGTAGTAACAACAACAACAACTTAGCACATACTAAAAACAGGGCATTAGAATAAGAACTGAACACGTTCTCAAACTGCTACTTCTACTTGCACTTCCTGCTGGATGATCGTAAGTAAGTATAGTTAGGAATCTACATTCACTTTACAGTGTGTGTTTACTGTATACTATACAATATCAAACAATGTAAGCTTGTTATGTGGATATAAAAAAGTAAACAAAACATTATTTCTTACCTTTTCATTACAGTTTGTATTCAAGTTAAAAATAAAGTTAAAGGTAAGCTTTGAACTTCTATGACCAAGCAGAATAGTAAATGAAAGGATATTTTCCTTGAGTTTCAGCACCCACTCTGTATTCAGCATAACTTTTAGATGGATGGAAATTGAATATAAAAATTAGATTTGCCCTCTCAAATACGATGACCTTATTTGATTCATGAGTTTCAGTCACAAAAGCCTGGGAAGAAAATAGATAGTTGTTACAAAAATAATACATTCCTTATTTGTAATTAAAATGCACTACAATAGGAAGTTACATTGCAACTTTGCTTGAATTTAACTAAAAGCAAAACTGACAAAAAGATTAACTCTGGTATCAATACAGCTTTAAACCATGAACTCTCTCACAGGGTATATAACTTCATATAAGATTTCAGATCAGAAAACTATGTTTAATTTTTAAACAGCTAAGTAAGATATAAAAGAAAAAGGTGGAATAAAAGTTAAATATACATTTTACAGTGACAACTGAAAAAAAAAAAAAGACACCTGATGAGAATTTTTTTGAGGCAAAGATAAATTATGCATCAGCGTCCACACACGCTTCTTCCCAAAAATGTCTGTGAACGTCCTTTAGTTTTAAAAAAAGGCACCAACTCTTTCTAGTCTGGATCAGCATCCCTGCCACTGTGGGTCATTTAGAAGTTGAACAGAAGATTTGAAATAAGGAGGATGCTTTTTTGTATTGCATAATGTGATACGGGGTTGGATCATTATTTGCCCCTTAGTGCTGAAAATGGCATTGGTGATCAACCATGCTAGGATATGTAGGACCTGCAACAAAAAACTATTCCATATGTAATACCTTTGCTCTGTTTGTTAAAGCCACACACCAAAGAAAATAACTACATGGCCATTTCAAACGGTCCTTTAAAGAGAAAGGATTCCGAACAGAATATACTTAGTATGTGTGCGAAAGCTATAATGCAATCTATAACTTATTTAACATTGAGAAACTACAGAAAGTCTACTAGTCTGTCAGTTTTATAACAAAAGCAGTACAATACAATATGCAGGTATAACTGTAAATATAGCATTGACAGTTTGAAGTTCAGGAGACTATAACATAAAATACACTACATGGAAAGTGTTTTCCTGATGACAGACTAATTATTGACATGAAAAGAAATTGTCAAAATAATTAAGACATTTCCAAAGCAATTTTTCAATTGGCAGAGTTTATTATTTGCTTTAACCAATCTGAATTAAAGTTTCTAAATGAAGAAGCAAAAATAATAAGAAAAAGCTCCCTGTGAAAGTAAACAGGACACTGTTCCAGATTTTCATTATCTGCAGAAGAGATTTCAGTGACATGTTTTGACAATCTGAAATATGTAACAGGGCATTACAGTGCATAATAAAGTGCCGTTTAAAATTTTTGCATATAGATTTTATATTCTTGTAATTCTGAACATGTACACTAGTGGTGACCAAACCATAACATTTAGCGTACATAGCTTACCGGGGGAGATGCAAGCCAGCCAAATCTTTCTTCCAATTTATTCATATCTCTGTCAAATGCATTTAGGAATCTATAGCGAAGAATGTGATCATCGGCTAAATGAAACTGTCTCCTGGCATAATGGTAACTCTCATTGTTTCCTTTTCTGGGGAAGTCTAACCATTCTGGATGCCCAAATTCATTACCTGTATTTAAAAATATTCATTAGGAAATGGTAAGAAATATACATAGACATGATTAAGAGATACTGGAAACCTGAGCATACATTGTCTCCAGCACTGTAGTCACCTGCTTCATTCTCTGTTTTTGTTTCAAAGTTAGATTTAAAAAGCCTTCAGCTTTTTTTTTTTTTTTTTTTTTGGTGGTAAATTGTCAGCTCAGTGAGCGCTAAGATGACAATCAAGCATGACATTCTGTGAGAGGTGAATTCTCACTTGAGATGGAGAGACAAGTGACAGAGTAATCGTGATAGAGTAATGAAAGGGTAATTCTGTCCCAAATATGAGCTACCTTTATGCATACCACAGTCCAGAAACTACACTTGATTTTTGTCTTAATAATTGGAAACTCTTTTGTCATGGAAGAGCAAATGTTTTCTTAAAGTCCACTCTTACCTTATATATCATAGCTGACTGCTTGATGTTAAGACTGACTTTACAAAGCAAGATTATCCAGCTTCTCATGTTACCCAAAAGATGTCATAAAAACAAACAGGTATCAAAAATGATATATAGTCCACCAAAAGGATATAAAACCCACTTTATAAAAACCCTCCTGTCTTCAACAAGTTACCTAACCTTTTATTGAATTTCTACACTATATTAAATTCCCCTTTCCCTGTTAGCCCTTTCGGTTCATGATCTGTTTTGTCTGTTTCAAAAAAGGACCAACTACTGGTCTTTTTGTTTCTTTTAGAAATATTGAATGTCGAGATTTGTATGGACTCTCTCCTATTTCGGAATGTGGAAACACTAACCTGAAGTCTTATTGTCTAACACATTCAATAGTATCTATAACTAACTATATCTATATATTCATATTCCAGTGTTGTTTACTTTATCCTTAAATAGACAGATTTTGATTTCCTTGCCTGCCTTCACAGCACATGTAGTAACTGACTTTTAATGGTTGGGGTTTTTTTTGGCCATCTTTCACTATACCATTCCATGTGCTCCAAAATCTTTTAAATAATAGGGAGATCGCAGCTGGAGAATATCCTAATTTGGCTCTTAAAAGAGAATATTAAATTTGATTCGATGCATATTCTCTTTTATAACAGTACCTCAGTATCTTTTTTTAATTTCCTCACCATATTGTCAACACAGTTTGTGTGCAGTCCGCTATTATTCCAAGGTCATCGTCAAAGTCCTGCTGTGATTCTGATCCATTTATTTCATATTTTTGTTCATGGTTTTAAGCCGAATGTGAAATGTAATGGTTATGTTTGTCAACATGAAATTCAATTTGCCACGTGTTTGCACATCTCTAATGCAGGTAATATTGCAAGAGAGTTTCCTATATATTTTTTGTAGTTGTCTCTTTTTTCTTTTAATCATTTCTTTGACCAAACTAATGTTCCTATAGCCTGAACCATGAAAATTCACACAAGCCTGTTTGATAACCCACATTAACATCTGCCACCCTTGGAAATGTCCTCCAGGCCTTCCTGGTGTCACATACTGTGGAATGCAGATGATGTTGCTGCACATATAGACTAAGTATCCAGGAGATCGTTTGGTTTCCTCCTCCCTGCCACCCTACCAAAACACAGTATATACTAGAGCTTGTGTAGATGTTTGGCGAAATTTCAGTAATTCCTTTTATGTCATTTTCACACATTCCTTCAAAGACTCTGGATAGGGTCACAAAGACTATGGGAGTTAGTACACCACCAGGACTGGGATAATGCTATGCATGACCTTAGTAAGTGAGGGACAGATCTCCCAGCCATCATATTCTTTTAATTTAAATAATAATTTGTGTTTTTGGATTTTCTACACCACATGGAATTGCTGATGGCAATGCTGCTATTTGCCAGAGGTGGTACAGGTGGACCCCAGCCTTTCCCATTATTCTTGTATCAGGTGCATTCTGGTAGCTGAAACAGGAGAGTCCTCCCACCCCCCCCCCTTTTTTTTTTTTTTTTTTTTAATAAAGGGATTTGGGAAGAGGTGGAAATGGTAGGAAATTCTCTTGTTCTCTGTGGTGGACAGTTCATCACTAAGACCAGGAGACCTGTTCAGGTTTCATGGTGCCCTCAAAATTATTTACAGCTCGACTGACATTGTCTTAATGACCATGAGCCTGATCATTAGTTGTCCTAACTGGGTTCTGGGGAGGGTAGATCTTTAAGCACTATGTGAACACCAGGGGTAACTATAAATATAGGCAGCATATGGCCTGCATAGGAACTCATAGCATTTGTGTGGTCCGGTAGTCACATCAATCTACTGCAATCTTAATACCACATACAAAAGTTCTGAGAAGCTTTTCAATATTTTAAGGAATCTCTATGTATGGGAAAAGAGGTTTAAAATCTGCGTTTTGGAGAAGGGAAATTACTAAAGTATATTAAAATGAATGGTTCCAGTAAAGTATATGCTAGGTCACCCCCTCCAGTTTTCATTTCTTCTACATACAGCAATATTCATGTTTGAGTAATTGTGAAAACCTCTACGCACAGAAGTACTATTGAGATTTCTTTTCCTGTAATTAATTTTTTGCTGTTTGATATGAAGGTCCAAATTATAAACTGACAACAAGCCAACTGGTATAAGTGATGCAATGCAAGACAATGAAACTAATCGGGGAAAAAAAGCTCTGTTAACTGAACATTTTGATTAGTGAATGTTTTTGCTTTGTTTCTCTACACTGTAATGCATAATAATTTTACCAAGGAATTAATTAAAGTGCACCATTGCCTACATGCTGTAGATATTATACATTTCTTTCCTGACACCAAGGGATAAGCTGATGTGTACAAATTATCAGTTGCACAATTCTAACGGGACCTGTGCATTACTGCCATATTCACTGTGCTGTCAATTTACCCATTGATGCATTTGTTTATTAAACTATAAATATATTTAAACCTTCAAAATAAATTATTTTGCAATCTTTAGCTGGTGCTGGTTAGTGCTTGGCTGAAGCCCAAGGGGCTGCTAAAATTGTGTTGATCTTTTTCCTTTTCAGACAGTTTTGATAGCAGTTCTATACACCAGCCGTCTCCTAAAGAGCAGGACTAAACTGATAAGACAAAAGGGCAGTTTTGTGGGATCACACAACATAACTGCAAAAAAGGGGGGCAGCGATGTATTGTAGCATAGAATAAGTGCTTAAGGGAACTTAAAATTACATAAATGGTAAAAAGGTTGTTTTTTTTTTAAATGGAATTCTGAAGTATGTGAAGTCAGATATTGTAGCTCGTGACATCCTTTTCAGAAAACAAACATTTCAAAAGATTGCTACCCTAATCCTCGTTTTCTCTAGACATTCTGATACTCTTGGTAAGATAAAATCAAAATATTCTACAAGTCTCACACATCAATTTTTTTTTTTCATTTTTGTTACCAAGTCTGTTCCAGTCTGTTAATTAGTATACTTAAAGAACTAAAACATCTCCACATTTCCTTAAAAATATGGTAATATCAGCTTAGGCCACTGTCATAAGCTCCATGCAGGCAGACTTCTTCTCCCACATGGAGTCCCTCTCATTTAAGTCAATTCCCAAGTCACCTCCCCTTAAAATGTGTGTGAAAGGGTTTGGGTCTAGGCCCAAATACTGGGAGAGCAGGTCTCTCCAAACTGTTGTACGATATATTTGGTGTACAAAGCAGATGGTGGCAAGACAATTACTTTGTATTTCTTAAACAGAAAAACAACCTTGATGCAAAAACTACTTGATAAACACTCCAAAAGGGTAAAAATCAAACAGTGAAAAAAGAAGCTAAAATTTAAAATGCAGCTGTCAAATAAATACATGTTCTGCTCCAGAGACGTAGGCCTGGATTTTTAAATGTATTTAGCTGTTGCTGTACTGAACCTTTCAACGCCTAACTGATTTAGGTGTCAATCTTAATTTCAAAAGGCCTAAGTCTCCTAAGTGCCTAAACCCCTTTTGAAAATGAGGTTTAGACACCTAAATCAGTTAGGAGCTGCAAGGCTGAGTGCAGCAACAACCAAGTACCTTTGAATAGCATGGGCCCAAGAGTCTAAATCAGTGCTCTCTTAAGTCAGTGAAACGACTCCTATTCACAAGAGTAAGTAATTGTTTTCATCTACTTCATATTTTAAATTGAGGCAAAAAGCCACACCTTTCCCTTTTCTCTGGGCTTTTTATTGACAGTACATATTTTGCATGTACCATCTAGTCAGTGGCTCTCCCCTTCACACCTTTGGCTAATCCTTCCCCCCCCCCCAGTATTTTTTATTCCATTGCATCTCTTGCTCAACATGTATCCATACATTCATCACATCCCTTTATACATCAAGGGTGCTTTCTCCTGTCCCAATCACTTTCTTTGCAGATCATTCTGGAAGATGTAGAGAGAACAGATATGCCTGGATTGATTAATAACTTTTCTTCCTGGCCCTCAAAATTAGAAGAACTATCTGTGATGATCTGTACCTCAGGGGAAACACCCTACACCCCCATGTTCATCTTTATAAAATGATTGTGTAGTATCCAATGCAAAGTTTTTCATGTTGGGTGTCTTTGGAAGGCTCATGATGCACTGAGCATGGTTGTTATAGTAATTGTTACAGTAATCTTATAGGTTATAATTTCATGCATATAATTATGAGGCTGAAAAAGGTATCCTCATGGCTTAAAATAAGTCCAGGAAAAAACTCTACAAGAGCTGAAAGGAAGTTCACACCTCATCAGGGTGTGTATGGAACAAACCCAGCCCAGCCTCACAGGAACAAAGGATGCTGCCCTAGACAGCAACAAAAGAATCTGTTGGACTCTCGAGGGAGTCACCCTCCTTCCTTTGGTCAGTTTGGAACTGCGATGAGGTAATGCTCACCTGATTCTGAAAAAGAGGTGGGGTGGGTGGTGCAAAGCCAAGAGGGAAGAAAGAACATGAAAAAGGGAGAGACATTTGCCATGCTCTTCCTCTCTCTTCCACCTAAATCTACAGGCACCACACCAAGTGACTGAAGCACTGATCAAACGGTGAGGCTG